TTTACATTGCTGTGCTTGAGAGCCACCATCTACCGGAACCAAATTCCCTGTATGTGTCTGCACATATACTTGGCCAATAAACACGATTCTGATTCTGATTCTGATTTTACAGTGTCCCAACTTTTTCACAAGTTTTGTCACTGTGGGAAAAAAAGTTAAATGTAGTAATACTGCATTGAATCAGTGAAGGCTTCTCTCAGCTGTGAATCTCAAAAGCTTTGTACACATCAGTGGAATTGCTTGTGCCAAAAGTAAAATGACTGCAGACAACAATACAAATAATCATTAGTTTTAAATATAGATATAAATTAAACTTTACTAGATTATTTGACAGGCTAGGGGTGGATAAGTGATGCACTCCCTTAATTTTAAGTTTAACTAATCATTTTTAAATATATTTGGTTGTTCTAAGACAGTATTAAATGGAAATAATCCATTCTCTGTTTTACTTTATGATGGGGAAAGAAAAGGGGCAGTTAAGCGAAACTGAAGGCTAATGAAAATACGTTAACAAACATTTGTAGCTTTTGTCTAACACAAAAGTTGCTCATGCTTAGGACCAGTCTTGTGTACAGCCAAGATCACCCTGAAATAACATCATTAGATTGCATGTAGTTTGCTGTGAGACTGTCACTGTTGAAGTTTAGCATTTTGTAATGATGAAAATCGAGGAAATTTTAACAGCAGGAATCCACCGGGAAATTTTAGGTGTAGGTGTAGTCATAAAAAGATGTTGGAAGACATGTTTAAAAGGGTTGTTTCTTCGGGTCTCCGATGATGACTATTTGCAGCTCATAATTTATCCACATTTGATTAAAAGGATATGTCTAAGGATAAGCCTCCTTTGAATCATTTGCAGGGCTGGAGTGATGGGTGTGTGGATCACTGATAGACTGATGAAGCTGCTGAGTTAATGCAGGTGGATATCGATAAAGTGCACATGCTTGCGTGCATGGAAGCTCAGTGAGTTTTATGCCTCTCATAGTGGGTGATGGAGTGTACCCAAGCACAAAAGGTTGAGGACAGCTTAACAGGCTATTAATATCCTCCAAAGCTTGAAGTCTGTTAACACCAGCATCTAAAATCCAAGGCTATATCATAACATTTTGTGAACATTTCTCATTTATTTAAAAAATGGTGGTCTTCATAGTGATAACCTTGTCATATAAGTAAATCTCTATCATTTAATTTTCAAGCTGAACATTGGCTATGATAAAAGAACACCACTGCACTAAAACCTCTGCAAATGGTGTCAAATAAATCCTGGTAATTTGTAATTCAATCTTTTTTTTTTTTTTTTAATCAGGGAGTGAACCATGTGTCACGGCGGGTGAGGAGAGCCGTGTGAAAATAATAAATGAGGATCCAATCGCAAGCAGTAGTGGAGAAGTGAAGGTGGTTTATTGAACACGAAATAAATATGGACAAACAGCAAATGGAGCACGAACTAAACTAGACTGGAAACAACTAAACTACAGAGCACAAACCTGGACAAGAATGAGAACGAGCAGAGGAGCTGGACAGCAGGGAGAACACACGGGTGAGACATGGTGGATACACAGACAGACCAGCAACTACAATGACAGAGGACACGACTTAAATACACAGAGAAACACAGGGGAATTACACACAGGTGGTGGACACACTCACATGAGACGCAGACCTTCACAATAAAACAGGAACAAGAAACCATCACACTAAGACGCAGACTCTACACTGAGAGACAGACAGAAAATGACACATGGAACTAAACTAAACCTGCAAAAACATGACAACTCAAAATACTGGGTCAAACTGACCCAGAACCGTGACACCATGACTGGTAATTGCTTAAAGCTTTTTAAAAATTAGATTTATGAAAATGTATTTTTGCTCATTTAAATAAACTATAATAAATAAATGATATGCATTTTCAAAATGTCAGAATTTACAGAATTCTAGTGTTTTACAGAAACATCAATAACTCTCAAGAAATGAATAAAAGAGGATATAAAACATGTTTTTACCTTTTGTATTACCTAATAGATCCCTAGGATCCGCTATATACGTTTGTCTCTATACACTGAACATACTTTGTACAAATTTGATATAATTATAAGATATCACTATTTTTACTCTCACATTTACATGCTATGCTATGAATAGAGCTATGTTTAGTTGCATGTTCAATGACAGCAGAAAATGTCTTGATGCCTCAAGTCAAAGGAGAATGACCAAACTGCTTTGAGCCGTTAGCAAAGCAACAGAAAACTAATAACCATTTGCTACAATTCAGGTATGCAAAAAAATGCACAACCTGCTAACCCTTGAACAGCAGCAGAAGACCACACCAGATCCCATTCCTGTCAGAAAAGTGTTGGAGTGTTTACTTACGGAGAACAAGAACTCCATGGCGTAGCGACTGAGCACGGTTGGACTCCACAGTGAAATTCAGCATGGTGGGATTTGCACCAATCATGCAGACACGGTTGTCTTGCTCAGCCTCACGGAACATCCGCAACAGCTGATTGGCAATGACCCCATTCAGAACAGATATGGCCACCATCGGTATGACAAAGGACAGGAATGCATTTACCTGTTCAAAAAGAGAGAAGGCTGTAAACACTGGAGATTAGTGCTGACAGAAAAACTATGTATCTGCTTCACTAAGATAAAATGTATATATGTTATTTAAAAAGCAAACAAATAGAACAAAACCCCCCAAAACAAAACAAAAACCCAGTGTCCCTCGAGGCTGATGACTGGCCCTACCGCCATAATAGGTTGGAGATTAAAGATGGCTCCCGTGTTTCTTCTGTTTGCATCTATATCTATATAATATATGTTTGGCCCATCTTTCAG